CCCCACCGCCCAACCAACTCGGTGAACTGGGTAGATAGGCTGATGCAAGCAACCCCCTAGATTCTAGAGCTGGGATTTAACGAAATTTATTACACGAATTCTCGGTAAAGGATTAACCAACATTCCTTCGTTTCTAGTCACGTTGGGCTGCATGTTATCAGTCGACTCTTACTGCTGATAAGAAATGGTTTGCTTTGGATGCATGGGTGGAAACGATTGCAAGGTATGGGGAGGAATTTTCTTGGTGGAATACTTCCTGTTTAAATTTTCGGGAGGGTTTTTGTTCGGGGGGGGGGGGGGTTCAGTTTATTGGGGGAATTGGGAATAGAAGTTGTTGGATTAATTTGGAGATTGGAAAATTCATTGATGATGAGGTTGAATGGATTGAATGGGAAAATGGAATTATTGGGGAGTTTATTATGGAGTACTGGGGGGCTCTGCCCCCTTGAAACCCCTTGTGATCCTTATTGACCCTTGTCATCCTTACTGACTCTCATGACCATTATTCTGGCCCTCATAAAACTCATTTTTACCCTTGTGATCCTTATTCTGACCCTTGCGATCCTTAATTTTGGAGCTTAATTTCGAGTACCAAATTTTCATCACCAGAGGTTGATTTGGGGTTCATAATATGGAGAGATAACATTTGAAGTATTGAATTTCTCCACCCAAAACTAAAAAAGGTAATAACCTGTTTTCACTGAGTCCAACTGCAATCAAAGACCTAGTGAATATTCAAATGTTAGACCTTGGATAAAGCTCAACAGAGATAGGAAAGTGAAAACAAAAGCAGTTACTGTAATTTTCAGTGCTTTTCAAAGTCTGTATAACTTGGCCAAGCTAACCAGAGGTACCCTCACCGAGAAAGACAGGAAATTACGTTCACGGATGTCCTTTCATTTAACTTCAGAAAGTCGACCTTCGTGTCCCTTTTCATATTTCGTAGGTAGACGGGGAAAAAAAGGGGGTTTGGGGGGGAGGGAGGGGTCTAGCCTTTGTTCAAGGTATAAACGGTTCAACTAGGGGTTTTGTGGAAGTACTCGCGAGGAAATGGAATTTGCTTCGGAGAAAATTCAATTTTTCGTACCGAATGAAAAATTATTTTCCAGAGTTTTTTTCACGGAAAAATAACAACTTCTTCAGGGGGGGTAGTAGGGGAGGGGAATAGCGCAGTGGATGAATATCGGTTTCGATCAGCGAAGGAATGTCGTTTTTCACTTACCTTGGATTTCCGCGGAGTGCAGCGTGATGGAGAGCGTTGAAACCGGTGTTATTAGTCCGGGTTATATCAGCAGCATAATCCAATAACAGTGCCAACATATCATCTCGCTTCTTGGAGGTGGCGTCGTGCAGGGGAGTGTCTCCTTCGGCGTCCTGAAATGAGCATTAATATGAAAAAATTAGGATGGTTTATTTCACAAAAGAAAATTTTTGATTAAATAAATTTTTTTTTACTCATGAATAATTCATTTTTTTTGCTTGCGAAGTTTACAATTTTTTGGGTTGGGGTAACTAAATATGCGATTCATGAATTTTTTAATGAATATAGAGTTTAATAAGACACCAATTAAAATTCAATTTTTCATACAGATTCGAAAAAATTAACGCTTATCCAAAAATCGATTTTTCAACGATCACTCAAAAAATTGTCATCAAAATGGAATTAGCCGTGGCTGAAAAAATTGATAACAATAGCCTCTTGATTCTATCAGAATATGATGAAATAAGAATTTAAAAAAAGAGAACCCATTCGGAAGCAAATTGTTAATTCATTAGCAACAATAACTACTCTCTACACTCATTTATTTAAAAAATGCAACTGTCCACTTGTTTCAATATCAATCATTTTCCCTTTAGCCTTAAAAAAATCTCCTCGAATGACATCGAATAATTTGAATTTAAATATCGCTGAAGTTCGCAAGTAGTTACCCCCGACGTACATCATTCCAAGTTTCCGGTGCATGAACTTCAGTAATTATGATTTTTGTAGACCCCCACCAATCATGAATTATTCCGTTTCAGATGTGGAGAGGAGCGTTTCAGAAATTATTCAACTGTCTCTGATGGCAGGGGGGGGGGGGGGGGAGAGAGGGCCCGGGGACCTCGGGGGATGGCAGTTACTTTGAGAAATACAAAAGCATGATTTATATTCGATCGTGCTCCTTATGCAATGAGCTTTTGCTAGGCTGAGCACGTACCGACGAAGAAATGAAAAGAGCACCCACTACGTGTTTTTCGTTCTCGTTCAGCTACCACAACAGTTGTCTCTTCTCTTCGGGGGGAAAAATATTCACAAGTTATTTATTACTGCTGATTTTCCCACCCCCTGAAAATATGAATATCATCAAGTGTTTGTGACTGAAACGTGCGATGATTTTTGGAATTATATATCAATATCGCGTTGTATTGCGTGTGAGGAGAGTTACGAGTTAATTTGTTGCAGTTTCCGGTTCTGTACGCATTATTCATCCCGAGGAAGTTTGCACCAGCTCCTATTACTTGGGTATGGCAGTGCGTGTGGAAAACTATTTCCATTCGTGTTTCCACTAGACTCGCCTGAGTCTGTTGTGCGATTACAACGAGAGGGAGAGGCCAACCTAGGGCCAACTAAACTTAACCTACGTGAGTTTTGTTGCTTCAGTCTGACTCTTAGGAGTTGTCCAACAAATATTGTTCAACAATGTCAGCGGAGTAAGGGGAGGGAGGGGTTTTGAGACGAGAGAGGGAAATGTGGAGTGGATGCATATTTGGCTGACGCTAGGGTGGGTTTAAGGGTCAAGTAAAAAGGGTCAAATTTTATGGGTTAAAATGAGGGTCATTTTGAGGGTCAATTGATGGATAAAAGCGAAGGTAAAATCATATGAATCATATTGAGGGTTAATTCATGGGTTAAACTGAGGATCAAGTATGAAATAGTCAAATCATGAGTCAAACTGAGGGTCAATTGATGGGTCAAACCGAGGGCCAAGTGATGGGTCAAATGGAGATAAAATGTATGGGCTCAACTGAGGGTCAAGTGATCCATGAAAGTCAAATCTAAAAAACCAAATAATAGATTCCTCACTGAAGATCAAACATAATTAGAAATCAGGCACAACATCGACGAATAAATAAAGCAAGACAATATCTCAAAATAATATAAATACCCTAAAATCGATAAATTCCAATGCATTAAACCCAAAAAAAATCGTCAACTTGTGTACAATGCACATCCTTAACTACCGATAGTGAAAATGGATTTGAAATATTGAGTGAATGGGCGTAACCAATGAATTTTCACGAGTCTGGCAAGCACCTAGTGGATTTAAATGTTCACGGTAGATTACGCAAATGGCGCGGTAATGCGTTGAATCGTTTCCACGTGAAGCCCATTGAATAACTAAATCTACCTTCTCGATAGGTAATCGCTTTTTACCGCCTACCCACCCCACCCTCCGATCCTTCCACAACTCCCATCCAACGTCACATAGGTACTTTCACCGTTCTTGTTATTATGGGGATTCCACTTCGAAATTCAAAATTCACAGCATCACCAAATCGATTTACACAGACCTATGTCCACTAATTCCGCGTAGTGTTGTAGCAAAAAGAACAACAAAGAAAACAACAGGGAGGTTTAAGGGCTTTAATTCACCTTGGGGAAGGTCAAAAGGGTCAAGCGTGAGGATTGAATTTCGTGGGTCAAATTGAAGGTCAAAAAGGTCAAACTGTGTCTGAAATTATGATTTGACCCTTGCACGCTCCTTGAATTCTCCAGTTTCACCTTCATGCCACGAAATGGCATCAGTCATCTCCTGAAACGATTTTCCCAAGGTTCAACCAACTGATACAACAGATAGCCCTCACACTAGACAACTCCAATATATTCAGCAGCATGAATAATCACGGCAGTCGCATAAAATATCCCGAAATATGATAAACTCAAGGTACATCTCTTTACGACCACCTAGCTGACTGCCACTGGTATATAAGATGAGGCTTGGGTTAGCAGCGTTAGAGAGTCTCACGTGCATTATAATTCCATAGATAGCGATAACCCTTCAGCTATTCGAGTGCCGTTCCCATGCAGCCAACCCCTCACCTCATCTGGCCGTGCCATTGCATCTTCAGCTATGTAGATATCCGACATACCTTCTGCACGTAGCACCGTCAGTGGCAGTGTTCGTCTTACAGCACTCAGGGGACTAAGTGCCCACCAGAGAACAGGGAGCCTCACGCAACGGTTTAATACAGATATTTCTACGTGCTAACACGAATGACATGATTCTGGGACGAGGGCTGTGAGCTTCTGAGATGGAACGGAGGAGTTTGATGTAGCTCGGTATGCAGAGGAGGCTGAATTGAAATTTCGTGGTGGGAAATATCAAGAAGAAATTGACCGGAGGAGTTCCAATCCTTCTAGGAATAATTCTGATGATCAGAACAAAAATGAAAATTCTGAGGGAAATGAAAATTCTCTGGGTTTTTCGTAGTTTTCATTTAAGAGCACCTCTAGGCATTGAATCAATTCAAAGAGAATTAGAATTTAATAATAATAGTTACGCGAGTTTTTTTGTTTTCGTAAATCAGTGAATTTAGTGTCAAAATTCAGTAAAATATAATATTTTTTCTTTCGACAAAAATTTCATTTTTGAGAAAGACATTAAATTTGGTTAATTTCCCTCAAGTAAATCTGTTCCAGTTCATCAAATATTCTCACGTAGAAGATAAATTTAAAACAAAATATATGTCTCAATTTTTCCAGAGCACCTATTGAATTTTTACCCCTGACATTAATTATAAAATAATAATTTTACGTGCATAAGGCTAAAAATGATCTACTGATAACCACAATCTATTCTCAATTTCCCTCTGAGAATAAAAATGGAAAAAAAAATTATTTTCTCCTGTGGATATTCCAATGACCGATAAACGTTTGACGTCACGGAACGAATGGCATTCCTGGGGACAAGTTGAGGGTTGGATATCGAGGATAGACCGATGAAATAAAAGGAGAAAAAAAAAAATAGTGAAATAAAGAGTACAAAAGAGGTGAATTGTGGAAAGGGGGTAGGGTAGCAGGGATACAGTGGGCGGGTTTCGTTTGGAATATGTATGTGTGCATGTGAGTTGGTCCAGTTAGGTGCTATTTTATGGGCAGTTGCTATCACCGTAAACATCGAGAACACACGGTGCTTCCAAACTGAATGCCTCTCACTCCAACATGCTCGGGGGGAAGGGGGGAGGGGGCGGAGAGAGAGAGAGAGAGAGAGAAAGAGAATCGTAAGATACACTCCTTTGGAGTACTTACTATTTTTATGTTTATGGTTTTGTTCACCAGGAATTTCTAATCGCAACACGATGCTATTTGTATGTGGCCTGTGGGTATCAATCAATTTCTCCAGGATCGTAAAGTTATCCATAAAAAAGTCAATCGAGGGGATGAATTTTGAATTGAAATGGCATGAGCCACGCAATTGCAAATATATTTTATGCCGTTCTCAGTTTAATCCACGCGATTTGCCACACATGATTTTAGAGATGCTCGCTCCCCTCGCCAACCCCCATGTGATCCCCATGACCCTTATTTGGGCCCTTATTCTGACCCTTGTGGCCCTTAGTTCCGGATATTTCAGTTCAGATCCTTCATTTCTGGCCCTTAATTTTGGAGTCTTAATTTCGGGTACCAAATTTTCATCACCAGAAGTCGATTTGGATTTTGAAAATATAGAGAGCCCCATATGACCCCCATAGCCCTTATTTTGACGTCCATGACCCTTATTGAACCCTTATTCTGGCCCTTGCGACCCTTCACCTGACCTTTGGGACCGTTAATTTGACTCTTGTGACCTTTATTCTGACCCTTACTACAACTCTCGTGACCGTTACTTCGACTCGTGTGACCCTTATTTACTGACCCTTAATTTCTGGCCCTTAATTGTGGAGTCTTAATTTCGAGTACCAAATTTTCATCACCAGAAATCGATTTTGATTTTGATAATACAGAGACCCCCAAAGACTCCCTAATTGTGACCCTTGTGATCCTTCACATGGCCCTTAAGGCTCTTAATTTGACCCTCGTGACCTTTACTCTAACCCTTGAATTTGGAGTCTTAATTTCGAGTACCTAATTTTCATCTCCAGAAATCCATTCAGACTTTTACAATATCGAAATATTATCAGAGCCACGAGGGTCGCAAGGGTCAGCCCTCGCGACTCCAAAATTCACTGTTTTGAATTTTTCTTCCAATTGTTTTTTCCCCAAGAAATGAAGCTTTCTCAAGCCAATTAAAATCATAAAATCCTCAGGTGTGACTCCTATTGAATACATAATTACGAATAATAATATCCCCATGAGTTCATTGAACCGCAACTCAGGCTCAAGAATTCTCTCC